TGCACTTGCTGCTGCAGGCGGTGCCCGAAGTCGAAGGCAATTTCGAGTGTCTGCGTCCCGTCGTCCAGAGTCAACAAGTTCGCCTCTTCGTCCACTCTGAGAAACACGATCCCACACGATCCCACACGATCCCACGCGATCCCACACGATCCCACACGATTCCACACGATCCCACACGGTCCCACTCGATCCCGAGATAACAAACACGATTTTATTCTATCCCACTCGATCCCACACGATCCCACACGATCCCACACAATCTCAGGAGAATAAACACGATCCCAACACGACCCCACACGATCCCACGAGGATTGAAGACGATCCCACACGCCCTTCAAGTGCAGCAGCAGCAGCAGCAGCAACGCCAGCAGCAGCAGCAACAGCCATAGCAGCAGCAGCACCAGCAGCAGCAGCTGCTGCTGCAGCCACAGCGACAGCAGCAGCCACAGATGCACTCCCAGCCACCGCTGCAGCAGCAGCAGCAGCAGCAGCAGCGGACTTGGTCACGAAGCCCTGCAGCCACAGCAGCTGCACTCTTCTGCCCCAAAGGGCGAAATGAATGGCCCTGGGGGCAGCAGCAAATATGAACTGCAGCTGCCGCACGTGGCAGCAAAGACAAGCAGCAACAGCAGCAGGCGGCTGCGAAGGCGGCGGCAGCAAACGGCCCAGCCACTCTGCTGCTGCTGCTGCTGCTGCTGCTTTTGGGGACGCGTCGGCGCAGCCGGGGGAGAGCGGCAGTCCGCCACCTGCTGCTGCTGCTGCTGTTTCTGCTCCTGCTGCTCCTAGCTCAGTGGGGCTTGAGGCTGAAGGCTCTGCTGCTGCCCCTGGATACACCCTGTCGGGCGTAGCTGCTGCTGCTCTTGCTATTGCTGTTGCTGCTGCTGCTGCTGCTGCTGTTGGAGAGCTGCTGGGGGAGTCACTGGCGCCCTGCATGGCAGCAGCAGCGGCTGGGAGCTGCTGCAGCTCCTGCTGCTACGGCGCTAGTTGCTGATGCGCCTGCTCGTTGTGCAGCAGCAGCA